AAAAAGCTCCAAAATGATATTTCTGGCTTTATAGATAAAATTACTGTAAATTTACTGTAGTTTTCTGTAACTTTTAGAAAAAGCATCTGAAAAATAATTACCAAACACACATATTTAAAAGTACTGTACAACTACACGAAAAAACTCTTAATCGCAATCCCAAATGCACCCTTAATAATTATATATCTTACAATATTTTTATAAATTTAATTAATAATTAATAAAATCTATTATATTTCATCTATAATATTTTAAAAAATAAAATAATCAAATATCAAAATAACTTTCAGTTACAGTTACAATATTTTACAGTAATTTTAAACGCACTCTTGATATTATTACAATGAGGTGGGGAGGAGAAGGAGCCTCGTTTTAATTCTTTATAGTGCATGGTGATGTATTATTAAGAAAGGTCAAGTGCACCTGGGCCTAAAGGTTTATTGGCATTAGTCAGCTTGTTAGGTGCATTCCCCCTCTCCTGGGCAGGTTTCGAACCCATCCCATATCAAAATGTTAAAAAAAAAAAAAAATTAAGAAAGGTCAAGTGCACCTGGGCCTAGAGGCCTACTGGCATTAGCCAACTTGTTAGGTGCATTCCCCCCTCTCTGGGCGGGTTTCGAACTCATCCCGTGTCAAAATGTTAAAAAAAAATAAATAAATAAATAAAGGTCAAGTACCGCATGACAAGGGTACGTGCCACTGAAATTTAATTTGTCGATAATTGTAGCTTAGTAGACGGCTACGAGGCTTTTGGTAAAAGGAAAGATTACATCGCGTAATGTTAAAGTTGTACAAAAAGATACTGTTTATAAATATTGAAATGTTTTTTACGGTTTGTATTGCACTTAATTAAGAATATTTTTGTTTTTTGAATGCATTATACTCATGTGAGGAGTACGTTTTTAAAATCACTCAATAAGAATTAATTCTCAAGATTCATAAAAATTAATTAAATAACACTTTAACTGTAAATAAAAAAAAATACTTTTGTTTTTTTCCCATGAACTAATTTTTTAAATGCAATTCACACTTTAAAAACCATTCTTTATATATTACAAAATAAGTATATCTAATTCGAGTTAATAAATTAAGTAATTTAATAATATTTTTTTTATAAAAGTAAAATATTTGAATTCAAGTCACATGACATATAAATAGAATGAATTAAGGATAAAAGAGAGTTATAACCTTCAATTATGTAATCCAAGATAAAAAAGAAAAAGTATATCCAATTTAAAATAAATTAAAATTAGTTATGGTAGCTCATATTCATTATATAGTTAAGCACACTTTTTTAATAGAATTTTTTTTATAAAATTAATATTTATTCGTTTTGCTTATTAAAAATTAAAAAAAATTTTAAAAATATATTATTTTAATAAAATATTATTAAAAAATCAAAAATAGTTTAATTAATTAATGCTTTAAAAATAGAGCGTTTTAAAAATAGTGTTTTAATTTTTTTAATAAAAATTTATTAAAATAATATAATTTTATAATAATTTTCTTATTTTTAAAATAAGGTAGATTAATACTTTTTTCTGTATAAATTTTAGGGGCTTATTCCAAGTCCAGTACGAAGTTCCAATAATGTCAAGTTATAGCGAAAAATATATAATATAAATATAATGTATAAATACACATATTTGAAAGTAAATAATAAGATTCACATGACATAAATAGGAGGCTTTAAATTGAAAAATAATTGGTAAATTTTGGGTTTAATACACTCACTAATATTCATCAGTTCAATTATTAAATTTACAATTGAAAGTTTTTTGGCCTTAAATCTAAGTTTAAAAATAATAATTTCTTAATAAATATATTGTGAAATATGTTAAATCGAATTGTATACTAATTATTTTTTTTATAAATTATTTGTTTCAATTAAAATTTAGTGCAAAATTTTAATATGGTCAAGAAAGGTAAAATGCATGCCCTACAAGATTTGGCTTTTTCCACAGAAATCTTGTCATGATTCCACTTTTAGAATAGAAAAAAAGGTAGATGATTCACTGGATGCAAATCCTTCTACACATATATAATAAATACAAATTTAATTAGGCAAGCAAGCTTTGTTATTTCCACGGAAATCTTGCTTTAGATTCAGCTTATATCCCAACCTGACACTGATGACTGAGTGAATGTGCACCTGCGAAAGGAACAACAATATAATTAGGAAAGAAGGCGAGCAAATTCATCTGAACTGCTGGCAAGCAGTGTTGGCAAAATAATTTAAATTACTTTGGTGTTGAATATGTTTTTCTTTTTCCCCATTGTCTTGGACCCTATCCACGCCGATCACACTACTAAGTGGAAAGCGAAACAAGCTTGCTTTTGCTAGAATTTCCAGGAGAGACAATGATTAAAAAGTTACCCGAAAAAAAAAAAAAAAATCTTAAGAGAGGAACACTAGCAATGATAAATTTTTTTTTTCTAACATGTGTCATAAACAGAGATTAAAGACACCTTTTTTATATTAATTATTATTAAAAAAAAGTAAGAATTAACCATTATTGAATCAAATGTTATTTATGTTTTGAAATAATCCACGTGGCATTGGTGAAAATTAATATCAAGTAATGATAAAAATGTGTATTAATTATACCTTTTAAGGTATAAATTAGAAAAATCTTGAAAAAAATAAAAGAAAAAAACAAGACAAAAACATATATTTAACTTCTTACCTTATTTAAATTTATTGTTTTTACCCTCTCATCTTACACATTAAAGTCTTTATCCCCTTAACACAAAAGTTTAAAGATTAATTTTAACACCTAGAACAACAGAAGTCATTATCTCTCTATTAAGTAAAATTAAAAAATTATAAGATCAGTCTCCAAAGCATAGGAAAGTGACAGTTCAGTCCCAATGTTTAGAAAAGTGACAGTCTAGTCCCTAAAACTTTTGGTTTACTCATTTATTTTAAGAACTTTTAACACTAGACTTTCACTTTTCTAAATTTTGGGAATTGATCTTATAATTTTTTTAATTCATTTAACGGAGAGTTAACAATTTCCATTGATTTAGAGGTTAAAATCTTCTAACTTTCAAATTTAGATACTAGAAGCTTCAGTGTATAAAGTGAGGGGGAATAGCAACGAATTTCATAAGTTAAGGGGTTAAATATAGGCTTTTGATGAGAAACAGTAGCCTCTCAATGGCTATATAAGGCAGTGTAATTAGGTTGCTTCCACTCATTCATGTAGAAATTTAGAAGTACATGATATGAAGCTCTGGTTACAAGTTCTGTTTCTTGCTTCTGATCATAATTCTGTGCTACTCTGTAAGCTACAATGAATTAAGCCCTCATCATCCCATGACTATTTCTCTCTGTTTCTTTTTTTTCTTTTTCTTTTTTATAAATATTTCTCAATTTCTGCTCCTGTCCTATATATTGCATTTCTCAGCTTTGAAATGTAGTTCTAGCATATATTGCATTTGCATCCAAAGCTTTCTAACGGTCATGCATGCTATTGCTACATACACATGACTTTTCTTGGCCCATTAGACATTCCAACAGCTTGCCTGTGAAATTACCTTTCATTTCATCAAAAGCATTGGGTTCTACATGAGTAAAAAGTAAATTGACACTTGAACAGAAAATAGATTACCGGGATGAGGTAGTAGTGAATCACATATACAGGTTCCATCTTGCTTTCAACGTATTTATATAAATGAATATATGTGTGCTTTGGCGACTTACAGAAGACAGAGATGCAGGACGCGGAAAAGGGCAAAGAAACTGAAGTAGCTAGTTCAAACCTAGGTGATCATCAGCCTTCATGTCAAACTGCAACTTCAGAGATCCACAATACACCAAATTTGCCAGCAGAGTGCCTACATAGCCTTCAAATACAAGTAGCAGAAGAGGTGCAAAACTTTCCTTGCCCCTTCGTTTTATCTCTAATTAAAAGATCATTGGAATATCTTCGAATGTTATCAATTCATGATTTAACTGCTGTAGTAACAAAATAAAAAAGTGATCCATATAAAGATGATCAATGCTAAATCCCCACAAAAGGCTAACATCGTATATCAATCTTAATTGGTGAGGACTTTAGCTCTGTGGATATCATTGTTTGAAAATTTTTTGACATCATATAGAGGAAAAAGGCATAATTTAAACAAAGGTACCTCTTGTGCTGATAAAGTGTCCTTTGATGATTTTATATCAAAGATGTGGTTATAAATCATTCTTGCAGTGGAGAATAGAGTTTTAAATAATGACAGCATAAATTTTCACATGCCAATAAAAAAAAAAAAAAAGAGCAAGGAGATATTTTCTTGTTTTATAATTATATCCCAACCAAGCGCAAAAATTACTAGTATATGTGTTTTTAATTTCTTTTTCTATTAACAATTGAAAGTTTGTTATTTCTTTTATGGTGCATTTTCAGATGGGGAGGGCTGATGATCAAATGCCAGTAGAGCAGGACATGGAAATGGTGCCAAGATTGGCTGTAGAGGATATGAAAAATGGGGTAAAAGTTGCATGCCTTGTTATCTCAGTATCTACAACTGGGATTGTCGGCTTCCTATCAGGAGTTCCAAGAGGCCATTCTTCCATGACAAGCAAGCTCATCTTCAAATCGGGAATTCTCTCAATGTTTGCCTCTTTGTTCCTTGCCTTAGTCCTGTTGGTGCTGTTCACAAACAATACTAAAATTTCTTGCTTAAACCAGGGTCTCAGAATAATCACTTGGTTATCCACAGGACTCATGACATTGGCACTTGTTTTATTTATGGCCTTTTACTTACTAACATGATGTGCTATTTGTCTCTGAAATCACCAGTCCATTAGACGTGCCAGCTAAGGAAATAATGTAACATTTTATCTTTCAACCACCATATCTATATGAGTTCCCTACCCCCCCCCCCCGGTGGCTACTTCTTCCCATCTACCATGAGAAAGCTGGTTTTCTTATTGTGCAACATGACTTTATTGCAAGTTGTTGAATGAGGAATAGAAACTTTATTGCCAGTTCTTGAATAAGGGATAGACCTTTTTAATAGCTAGCATGGGTATGTTCGTCTCCTTCGTTAATCGAAAAAGGTTTTAATTTCTTTTCTTCACCATGTAATATTTTAGAACCCAAAGTCAACTATTGGTATGAAACGATGCTAACAGTAACATTAGAAAAACCCCTCCAATGGAGAGTTACCAGAAAAAAGTAGTATATATTTTAGAACCCAAAATCATTATTGGTATGAACATACTAACAACTATTTAAAAAAAAAAAAAAAAAAAAAACCTTTAATATGGAGAGTTACCAGAAAAAGGTATATATTCTATCATCTCATATATAGGACGATGTTCGCGATTAATGAAAAGTTTCCATCCTGGAAAAATGAAATTAGACAATTAGTTTTGGTCTGAAATTGAAAAAAGAAAAAAATAGAGGGATATTTGTCTTTCAGCTCAGAGGCCTACAGCTCGAAGGGTACCAAAGAGGAGTAATCAAGGACCCCAAGAAATCACAGTGCCCTAATCAATAGCGACGAGGTCATTTCGATGCCAACTATACCACATAAATGAATAGCTATACAACTCTAAACCCCCATACAAAAGAAAAGCATTTGTGATTCGCGGAATCACGGGCATACTATCCTTTTGACATGGACATTTGCTAAAGCAAAATCTTCGTAAACGGAAAATTTCCAAAGTATAATAATGCTTTTGAGATTTGCGAAAGAAAAATCTTCGTAAAACAATATAAAAGCAGTTAAAATTAGAATTAATGGACCACGAAAGCTCTGGTCCTGATTAATTTTCTGCCACAAAAGATGTCAACACAGCCTCCTGGAGAAGCTTCTTATTATATATCTACACGACTTCTCCCCGTCTAAGGATGGCAATTTTCTCCGTAACCCGCGAAGCTCCATGGACATCCCTGTCACGGGGATGGAGATTCCAAGAATATTCTTACCCATGGGATGGGAATGGAAGCAATTTTTTACTTGTGAAATTTCGTGGGAAATTTCCTCCACCCCGTAGGGATCTATGGGGATCCGTATAAAAAAAAAATTTATTTATATATATATATTGTACATATGTTAACAATTAATTTTTATTTACCCAATTTAATTTTTTTATTAAAATTTACCCAATTTAATTAGTTAACCCAATACCAACATAACTTAAATTTCACAATCCACTCTTTTTTCAATTTTTCCAAACCCAATTGTCGGCCCAACCCAATTTTTTTTTGTTAATCTAATATTCTTAAACCTAATTATCCAACCCAATTTATAGCCCAATTTACAGTCCAATTTAGAGCCCAATTACAGAACCCTACAAGCAGAAGGAAATCCAATATAGATAACCGGCTAACCCTAGATGCAGAAGGAAATCCAATTGTCGCTTCTTGCAAATTGCTATCCCACCCTACTCCAGTCAGTCTCTTTTCCTCTGTTGCGCCGCTCACCACTGCTCACACCGCTCACCTCTAGCTCCAACTCCAGCTCCAGCTTTTGTTTGTTTATTTGTTTGTATGTCATCTTCTATCTTTCATTTTCGCTTCTCTTTTTTTTTCTTTAATTTCTGTACTTCAGTTTGAGCATCAGCATGCATCAGTTAGCTATCACATATGTCCCATTACATTGCACAGATGGGTACCGTATGCCTATGTGCATCTGATAGTAAAATTTTTCATTTGGTGGTTTTGCAGCATTCGATCTTTTCAAGCAGCAACAGCTCCCAGCTTGTAAACCTGTCTTGACACCAACGTGGGTGAGTGCTTGCGATCTTTTGATTTGGTAAACCTGTTTTGATTTGGTGGTTTTGTAGCTTTCGATCTTTTT